TACGCTAACGCTAGGTGTTAAACCCTTTGCTGCATCCTGGCTACTATTGTGTACATTTTACTCGAAATGTCGTCTTATTTTCGTACTGTATGTTAGGCGTCCGTATGTCGGAGCAGACGTATGTAAGAGCAAACGATATATATGTCATTTATCTTCATGATCGTGTATATTTATCGCAACCTTTATGGCTTTCCCACGCACCGGCGTGACGTCAGGCGGGAAGCGCTACTGCATAGAAAGCAGAGAGTAGCTTTTGAATGCTCGCGCGTCCGGTGGTGGCTCTGTGACATCGTGATATCCCCCCACACGTGTAAAGCTAAAGAAGTATATATATATATATATATATATATATAATATATATATATATATATGAATATAAATAAGAGCCTGTTATCATGTATAGTTATATAAATATGTTAAGCATATATTGTAAATGGAAGAGTATATTCTGAAAGAGGTATGAATTATTACTTGTATTTTGATTATAGCGTTATCATGATAATAATCAGCAAGCTTCGTTAGTTAGTTAATTAGTTCGTTAGTTATAACGCGGGCTTGTTGTTATATTACGTTCATAGATAGCGCTGTCACGAGCTAGCGAACGCGTTTCTGAGCTTGCGCGTTATTCGTGGGCGATAGTTACTTATATAAACGTAGTTTTAAAGCCCACTCATTGTATTTACAGACACGCTATAGTGTGGCTACAGTGAAAGAGTTATGAGTAAGGGGAACAATAAATATCGTTCACGCTGGCGTATGTGCGGATATGCGGTCATATATAGTATAGACAATGTCATCGCTGCGTAAACGTACGTGTAAATTTCTTGAGGGGAGTTTTACCCCAGATTTATTAGGCAGGTGCATATATGTATCTGTATAGGTATATGTATATATGATATACCTTTATAATATGCTCACCTGCTGGTCACTGTGCATGTAAGCACGTTTTGCCGATGTCGATTTGCCTTTTCCTTTTAACTCTGAAAAAGCCGTGTAAATATGAGCGTGACACGCGGTGGCGCCAGTGTCGCCATATATAACATAGTCTCGACAATTCGTTCTCCACTAGTGTATGTATGTATGAGCACGAATGTATGTATTGCTTGCTGTTCATCTTCCACACGTGCCCATATTTGGGGGTTCAGTGATGGGAAGGCAGGAGTGTCGTGGTTGCTACGGCATTGCTACAGCAATCCGTATTTAAAGGGTGTGGATACCTGAGGGAAACTGGCGTTTTTCGGTCCGCATTCGTTGGTAAACAGGTGAGAAAGTGAGAGATGAGTTTGGCTGTACTCAGCGTTGCCAACAGTATGCCAGCAGTATGCCAACAGCGTTGAGTAGGTGGGAGCAGCAGCTATTGCGCTCCCGATAGCAGATTGACTGATAAAACAACATAACGACGTAGTTCATTGCAAAATGACTTTATTGAAAGTGCTTCTTTATAAAAAAAGTTATCCATATATAATTCCACGGCTACTGATATCTCATCTCGTATATAAACTACTGCCACCTAGTAGCAGACACCAGTACTACGATGAGTGTAATTATATTGCACTAGCAGTGAAGGCGATTCTACGTGTAGGTGTTCTAGAACATGACTGTATTTCACCAGGGAACCAACCTATCGTGTTCAATCTTCAACGGAAGAAAATTTGAAATAATTCGAGGATTTCATTCGGTTGCACGTATGTTGATGTCAAATATCCATTTCCCTACACCGATGGGAAAAAAATCACAGAGCTAAATAAAAACAAATCTGGTAAAAACATGAGAAAAGTATTTGTTCAGCATTTTGTATATTATCGTTAAGACCAAAGTTGTGATAATTCTACAGATCGGCACACCTTATGAAAGAGATATTGCATTCATTAGAAGTGCCAATTTTACAATAAGCCAGTTCGTAGTTAGCCAAGGGGTTGTGGGACGTCACAGGTCACCGGGTCATTTGTGACAAAGAGTGCGGCGTGCGCTCTCGGTTCAGTACATATATGTACATGTATTCTGTGTACGTTTACATGCACGTGTACGTGCACACGCACGCATGCACGTGTACGTGTACACGCACGTACGCGCCGCACGTGTACGTGTACACGCACGCACGCTCGCACGCACGAACGAACGTGTACGTGCACACGCGAAGACTGTAGCATTACAACGACACAGATGCATGCGTAGGTGTACCGTGCGGTCGAAATACGAACTATTTTGTCACAAATGACCTGACCCGGACGAATTCGTGGCAAAGTTCGCGCATGCGCAGACTGTAACTACGAACTGGCTTTTTGCGCGTACACACAAAAAACCGACATGACAGTTTTGTTTTCTTGCATGCCAAAAACATGTTCACTTGATAAATAACATTTTATTTTCATTTCATTTTCCAATTAACTAGAATTTGTTTACAGAAAATCTCAAAGCTGTGTATAATATGTGCATATATACAAGCACTTACCGGCATGTACACACGCATCCAATGACTATATCAAATTGTATTTAGCAAGAATATCGACAGAAATTATACAATCACTTGCAATACACACCCAGCCGATAAAAATAACTTATATTTACAAGTGCCCTTCCGCCTTTGGTATGCTTCCTCGTGTTTCACGTATATATAAATTCTACAAATGCAAGCATGTGTGTTGCACCCGCGACCCCCTCCCCCACCTCTTATCTCGCGCCATCTCGCGAGAATCTCGAACAGCGTAATACTAGTATTTGCACATGTGTTCTCGAAAAAAAAATTCCGCGTAAAACGAAAACACTTCACGCGCACACAACACTCACAGCAAATCGACAGCATGTCGACATCTTTACAAGCGATGTCGTTCGTATGCCACGTCGCAAACTTGCGACAAGTTGCTTAATATAAGTCCAGTGATGTAGTAGGCCTATCTATAGTTGACTCTAGTAGAATTCCAGTGGAATTCCAGTAGAGTTGACTCCCTAACGTCCCCAATACCTGAAGCGGCTCTTTACCCCTCTTCCAGTGACAAAGCTGATCACAATATAATACTTAGAAGGGGTTCTACCGTCTACGTCATGTCAGAAGTCACTCCACCCCTCCCCAGACCTAAAACTGGGCACAGTCTGCGCTCGCCCAGTGATTGCATTGCCCCCGCCCCCTTTCTGGTGCTAGACCTGACCGCTTTTACCGTGCCCCTGCAAAGCTATGGATGCACAGTTTCAGGTCGTATCATGCCTGGCAACGAATTTTTTTTCCTACACGTTATCCATTGGGCACCGGTAGTAAAACTAGGCATGAGAATACTACCAACGGATAAAGCGATAAATAAATATATATGTATATATAATGTATATATATATACATTATATATATTATATATACATACATACATATATACATACATACACGCACGCGCGCACACACACACGCGCGCGCTCACATATAGTTACATATGCATTCGCAAAAATACGAATAAACACTTAGCATTACTGGAAATCACAATGTCTACAACTCTCTCAGTAGCAGCACATATATGATGTGCTAACGTCTACAGTCTACAGTGTGCGTGAGTGCCATATATTCCTTGAGCCTCATATCACATTTACATATAGGCTTCATATTCAATTCGCAGCAATAACCCAATAAGTACGGTTGCGCGTATGCATATATATATATATCTATGCAATGCACCTGCGCGCGTGTGCGTAATACATGTGTGCGTGCATGCGTTTGTGTGTTTTTGTTTGTTTGTTTGTTTGTTTGTTTGTTTGTTGTGTTGTCACCTGTGTGGTGGTGCAATTCCTCGGTGCCGTGTAGTGTTTAGTGTGTGGTCGTGTGTGTGTGTGCATGTGATGGTGTGTGGTTTGTTTGTTGTTTGTTTGTTTGTTTGTTCTGTGTCTGTGTGATACGCCAACCGCCCGTCCCGCGCACCTAGTGCGTGACACCAGCGCCGCGCCTGCGTGTTTCGTTGCGGTGCGTGTGGATGTGGTGTGTGCAGATGTGCATGCGTTGTGTGTTTTGTTCGTTTGTTTGGCTCGATTGTGTGGCGAGACGTGCGTGCTGTCTTGTGCGTGGCGTGGTGCGTGCGTGGCGTGCGTGGTGTGTGTGTGTGCATGCCGTGTGTGGTATTGTTGTTTGTGTGTGCAGTGCGTGCGTGCGTGCGTGGCGTGTTTTGTCGCGTGGCGTGGTTGCGTCGTGTGTGTGTGCATAGACGTGTGTGGTTTTGTTTGTTTGTTTGTGTATGTGCGGCGTGCGTGTGTGTGTTGGATGCTGTGCTGTGGTTTGTTTGTTTGTTTGTTGTGTGGGCCGAGCGTGCGCTGTGTGCAGTTCACACGTGGCTAGTGTCAAGTACCGGTCGGCAGAGGATGTATCATGATCCTATGCCCAGACATCAGCATAACGAGGCAAGGAGATGAGGATTCACCGGAACCGCCGACATTCACACGCTACGGCTTTAGCGATTAAATATACACGTCTGCGCACGAGGTACCAACCATGCCGGGCACAGGCGCCAGGTCTTTTTCACTGTCGCTACATAATACATGCTACCGCTGTTCCACGATATTGCACACGCATGTACGTGGATCATGCAGGCCATCTTGCGCTGTCGCTAAGTCGTTGCTCACGGAGGGGCCGGTGTGAGCGATGTGCTGTGATGCATGATTTCCTTGGCCGCCATCTGACATCCCAGTAGGACTAGTTGTTTTGTCGAGATGAGCCGATTACACTTGCATCTTTTCGTCAGAGGAAGTAGACCTACTATTTATCAGTAGTAGCGATACCGTAGCTTTCCTTGCAAGGGCGCGCTGCAGAGCCGGCCAACAGGTAATGAACGGCGGAAGAAAGTGATCGCCGATCCAAGTTGACCCCCCTGAGACAATCATGCGCCATCGCTTCCGTGGCTGTGCGCTGACGCGTGACTCAATTCTGCGAGCGGGACGACGAAACATGGCGTCGGGGCATACCCAAGGATTTTGCTCTCGCTCGTGAGCGCGTGCGTGCCATCCTGGCGGACGGGACGACGAAACTGCCGTCACGTGTCTGGCTCTGCTTGCGCTGAGGTTGCGCCAGCTGGCGCCGATTGCTCACGTGAAGTATGTGGTCCCGTGGGTGGGATCGCCAGCGCCTCCTGGTAGGCCTTTTCGGCCTGTCGGCTCGTTGGACCGTTAATGTGCAAGATGGCGCCGGAGGATCTCATGTGTGCGCTCGCGCCTGTGGTGGAGAGATGACAGTTAGTGGCTGTGTGGTGGTAGATGTGAAGAGGAGGGATACGAGGGGAGTGGGGTCGTGGGAATGAGTAACGTACTCGTGAGGAAGAGACTAGGCGAGAGGTTATAGATGAGACTACGAGAGACGCGACGGAGCAGCGAAGAGAGACGAAGGAGAGAGACGCTGAGACGGAGGAGAGGCTGACCGATATTGTGGGGTGATGGTGAGAAGAGCTGTCCTGTGGCGGGAGTAGTTTGGGAGAGGGACTGAGATGGGGAAGATATGTGGCTGAGTGATGCTGTGGATTGCGTACTGGTCCGGAGGAGGCGATTAGGAGGGGGAGGGCTATCGTAGGGCAGGATTCTGCTGAGATTGAGGAGGGGAGCTAGGATAGTGCTGCTGAGTGTGAGAAGATGTGAGGGAGGGAGGATGGGCGACCGAGCGCCGCGCAAGGATATTCGAGACTGAAGTGTGAGAATGATGTGAGGGGGAAAGTTAGAGAGAAAGGGAGAATTTACAACAAAAAAACAGTGGAATCAGGTACAAAAGATAGAAATAAAATACCAGTGGCTGTCTTAGAGCCCCCCAGCGCCGCCCCCCAAGTGACACACCCATATGACGGCAGATCTCCGAGATAACAGAGGGAAGATGTGTTATAGCGGGCTCCCCGAATTGGAGATTTAAATGATTGGTGTAGTGTGGGGGAGGAGGTGATGGGAGGTGAGGGTTGTTGTGGAGAGACACTGTGTAGTAGGCAGTTGAATGAGAGTTTAGAGTTTTTGGCGATCTGATTTGCCCGCAGGACCAAGGAGACGAGGATCGTGAGACGCCCCCACCGAGACAAAAAACGCGCCCACAGCCGACACCAGACAGCACCGCGCCGACCGATCCTCACCCTTCCGACCGAGCTCGTCTTTGAAGACGCGCCAGCCGCGTGGACAGACGGAGAGGAGGGAGACCGGAGATCGAGAGAGGCCCGACCGCGGAGAGGGAGCAGGTGACCGAGGAGGGAGCGGCGGAGGCAGGCGCCTCGCCCCCCGCCGCCCCGAGAGGGAGAGAGAAGATGAGCGCGACGCAGGGGAGAGATCCGGAGTAAGGAGGAGGGAGGGGGGGGGAGAGGAGAGATGAGAGGAGAGATCCGAGAGGCGATGCGGGGGGGCGAGAGAGGGAGGCGAGGAGGAGAGAGGGTGAGATCGTGGAGAGAGAGTGTGATGTGTGTGGATGGAGAGATGAGAGAGGAGGGGGAAGAGAAGACGAGCGTAGAGGAGAGATGAGGCAGAGAGGACTAGAAGTGATGAAGGGCCTGAATGTCAGGCGGTGAATGCTCTCCATCGTCTTACGTTTTCAAAGTACAAAACGATCCATTCCTCGGCACATACACAATTACAGCAAAGCACCTGTAATGTTATCAATAACTACAACTTCCCTAGCGTTCCTATTTACGAGTTTATGCTTATTATGCACACTATCACGGCCTAAGCTGTGATACGAGAGGACGAGGCCAGCAGCAATACATACCACTTGCGACTTCCTCGCAGCTGTCACTTGCATTCCTCGTCCGGTTTTCAGTTCGGGCGGCCGAGCTAATCTCGCTTGCCTGAAAGAAGCATCGGCGATTGGGACTGTGTGTCAGAGGGTTGGAGGGCCCGCAACAGGCAGCACTGGGCGCCGTGCAAAGCGCATTTGAACTCTTACACACTCACTGGTGTCAGTGTTAATCTCGCTAAGTTACTAATGTTATGTCAGGAGTGTAGAATATATATCTGATATGATATAATAATATAATATAATATAATATATATAATAAATATATATATAATCAGAAGTAGATAATATGGAATAATTTCCCTATTTCTATTGTAACAGCGCCCCCTAGCAGAGCGATCTTGAGCGTGAGCGCGCCCCTAGCGAGAGCGATCTATGTGGAGGCAGGGCCTAGCGAGCGCAACGTTAGTGACGAGTGCCCCCTAGCAGAGCATCGTTAGGTGCAGCCGCGCCCCCGCGCCATTAGTGCAGCGCCTATCACGCGTTCTAGTCCGACACTGTCCCTCAGCAGAGCCACCTCTAGTGCCACAGCGCCCTCAGCAGACCGCACACCCTCTAGGTGGAGCCCCCTAGACAGAGCCATATAGTGAAGCCCCCTTAGCAGAGCATCGTAGTGACAGCCCCCTAGCGAGATCTCATGTGCGCCCCCGCCTAGCACAGAGCATCTAGTGAGCCCCCCTAGCAGAGGCATCTAGTGGCAGCGCGCCCTTAGCAAGCATTAAGTGCAGCGCCCACTTAGAGCATCTAACTGTCAGTGCGCCCCTGCGAGCCATTAGCAAGTGAAAAACGCCCTAGCAGAGCCATCTAGTGACAGCGCCCCCTAGCAGAGCCATCTAGTGACAGCGCCCCCTAGCAGAGCCATCTAGTGACAGCGCCCCCTACCTGAGCGTGTTGGCGGCGTTGAACATGACCTCGAACTCTGCGGGAGCGAGCGTGGCGGCGAGCACAAACATGTCGGCCGCGTCGCGAACCTGGCCCGCCTCTGCGAGGTACTGCCCGTAGTGCTGGTAGACCGACGAGTCGTCCGGTGCCAGTCTCAACGCACCACGGAACAATGCCTCCGCTTCGCGAGAACGATCCTAGCCGAGAGAGAGAGAGAGGGATGAGTAGAGGGATGAGTAGTTGGCAGGAAGGGAGGGAAGGGGAGATGAAGGGGGAGGGAGGTAAGGGAACAATGCCTCCGCCTCGCGAGAACGATCCTAGCCGAGAGAGAGAGAGAGAGAGAGAGAGAGAGAGAGAGAGAGAGAGAGAGATGAGTAGAGGGATGAGTGTTTGTAGGTATTGTTAGGCCGGGAGAGAGGAAGCGAAGGAAGTGGAGATAAAGGGGAGGGGAAGGAAGGGGGAGGGGAGGAAGGAGAGAGGAAGGGGGAGGGAGGTAAGGGAGGGAGGGAGGAAGGGAGGGAGGGAGAGAGGGAGGAAGGGAGAGAGAGAGAGAGAGAGAGGGAGGCAGTGAGGGAGGGAGGAAGGGACGGAAGGAGAGTGAAAGCTTGGAGGGGTTGGAGAATTTAACCTAAAATAATTTTCTATATAAATGTTTATTATATTTTATATTGTAATACTTTTAGTTTTAAATATTTTGTTTTCTAAATTTAATTGACATGGATAGCTCAGCTGCACCAGCTCTTTGCATTGATGACAAAACAGAATTCATTTAGAACGGACGTAGATGAGGTAACGTGTGCGTGAATTGCTACATTATGCACGTACAGTTTTGTACAATAGCTTTGCTAGAGTCAAGTGCGCAGGGATGTGATCGGGCTTCGTCTGAAGAGCTTTCCTGTACCACATCTCCGCATTATCCACTTTATCTTGTCTGAAGTATGCCTCCCCTGCGAGCAGAAGCCAGAGTAAAACACAGCGCGTGAGCTATGCGTGTGTCTGGATGTGCACAGCACCCGCTGCGGCGAATGCAGTTAATGAACTCATACGGTATATTTGTGAATCGCTGAGCGTCAACATACGTACGAGGCTCACTTGGTGCCTGGTCACCTGGTGCCCGGTCGCCTGCTCACCCGGTCACCTGGTACCTGGTGCTGAGATCTATAATTACCTAGCATGTTGTAGAGACTCTGCGGTGGGTACTGTCCGGTGATTCGCTCCACGGCCAGGTGGTAGACGTCGATTGCCTCCTGTGTGAGCAAGCAGTGTACCAGAGTCACGGTGAGAGTCACGCGAGCAGGCGGGGAACCGTGGAACATGGGGACGAATCAAGGAAGGTGGGAATGAAACAAGAAACATGAGGATGAATCAAGGAACATTGGAACGAATAAGGGAAAATGGGGATGAATCATAGAAATAATATAGGTAGACTCTATAGGTGTCTCTATATATTTCTATGGGATGAATAAAGGAAAATTGTGATGAATCAAGGAACATGGGAATGAACCAAGGAACATGGGGATGAATCAAGGAACGTGGGGATGAATCAAGGAACGTGGGGATGAATCAAGGAACATGGGGATGAATCAAGGAACGTAGGGATGAATCAAGGAACATGGGGATGAATCAAGGAACATGGGGATGAATCAAGGAACGTAGGGATGAATCAAGGAACGTAGGGATGAATCAAGGAACGTGGGGATGAATCAAGGAACGTGAGGATAAATCAAGGAACATGGGGATGAATCAAGGAACGTGGGAATGAATCAAGGAACATGGGGATGAATTAAGGAACGTAGGGATGAATAAAGGAACATGGGGATGAATCTAGGAACATGGGGATGAATCAAGAAACGTAGGGATGAATCAAGGAATATGGGGATGAATCAAGGAACGTGGGGATGAATCAAGGAACATGGGGATGAATCAAGGAACGTGGGGATGAATCAAGGAACATGGGGATGAATTAAGGAACGTGGGAATGATTCAGTCCAATCGATTCCATAGAAATATATAGAGACACCTAGTATACCTAATCTACATAGTCTACCTAATATATTATTTCTATGGTCGATTCTGTCACAGTAAAGTGTAGTAGCGCAGTGCGTGCGTGCGTGCGTGCGTGTTTGTGCGTGCGTGTGTGTGTGTGTGCAATGTGCATGCGTGTGTGGTTTTGTTTGTTTGTTTGTTTGTGTGTGTGCGTGCGTGCGTGCGTGCGTGCGTGTGTGTGTGTGTGTGCATGCGTGTGTGGTTTTGTTTGTTTGTTTGTGTGTGTGCGAGCGTGCGTGTGTGCATGTCGCACTGGCTAGGTGTAAGCGTGGTGGCAGATGTGTGATCATGCATCCTATGCCCAGACATCACATAACGAGGCAGGAAATGAGAGATTCACCGACACCGCCGACATTCACACACGGCTATAGCGATAAATATACACGCTCGCACAGTAACCAACCATGCGTGCACAGGCCGCGGTCTTTTTTTTAACTTCGTCTACACATCACATGCTACCGTGTTCCGACCAGATATGCACACGCCTGTACGTAGGATCACTGTCAGCCATCTTCGTGTCGTAAGTCGTTGCGTACGAGGGGCGGTGGTGAGCGATGTGCTGGAGCATAGATCTTCTTGGGCGCCATCTTGCATCCCAGTAGGCCTAGTTGTTCTTGTCCGAGATGACAGCGCATTACACGTGCATCTTTCGTCAGAGAGAAGTAGACACTACTACTCTACAGTAGTAGCGACTACCGTAGCCTTTCCTTGAAGGGCGCGTGCAGCGCCGCCAACAGGTAATGAACGGCGGAAGAAAGTGATCGCCGTCCAAGTGCCCCCTGAGACATCACTGCTCTCGCTCTCGTGGTGGCTGACGCGTGCTACCATCTGCCGACGGGACGACGAAACTGGCGTTTGGGCGCATACCCCAAGACATCTTTGCTCTCGCTCGCTGACGCGTGCTGCCACCTGGCGACGGGACGACGAAACTGCCGTCACGTGTCTGGCTTCTGCTTGCGCATGAGGTTGCGCAGCTTGCGCAGATTGTCCTGAGTGATGTGGTCACGTGGGTTGAGCGCCAGCGCCTCCTGGTAGGCCTTTTCGGCGTCGGTCAGCTTGCCGTTCATGTGCAAGATGGCGCCGAGATTCATGTGTGCGCTCGCCGCCTGTGGTGCGAGAGATGACAGTTAGTGGCTGAGTGGTGGTAGATGTGAGGGAGGGATAGAGGAGAGGGATAGAGAGAAAGAGAGAGAGAGAGAGAGAGAGAGAGAGAGAGAGAGGCGGAGATAGTGGGTGAATGGGCAGTAGATGTGAGGGAGGGATAGAGAGAGAAGGGGAGATAGCGATAGCCGATAGTGGCTGAGTGGTGGGTAGATGTGAGGGAGGGATAGAGAGAGAGGAGGGGAGATAGTGGGTGAATGGGTAGTAGCTGTGAGGAAGGGATAGAGGAGAGGGATAGAGAGAAAGAGAGAGGCAGAGATAGTGGGTGAATGGCGAGAAGATGTGAGGGAGGGATAGAGAGAGGGGGGATAGAGAGAGAAGGGGAGATAGCGATAGTGGCTGAGTGGTGAGAAGATGTGAGGGAGGGATAGAGAGAGAAGGGGGAAGATAGTGGCTGAGTGATGAGTGGATGGGGGGAGGGATAGAGAGGGGGAGGGGGAAGATAGTGGCTGAGTGATGAGTGGATGGGGGGAGGGATAGAGAGGGGGAGGGGGAAGATAGTGGCTGAGTGA